TCTGCATACAAAAAAATGTTTAATATCACCAAATCCTCGATTTACAGTAAATCCTTGCTGTGTGTTGGATGGCTTCTCGGCAATGAACATTAAATGTTTCATAAGATAAATATCATTGGCTTCAGAATTCCAAGCTCTATCTTTAGCACAGGCTAAACCTCATTAAAAAGTCAGTGTTACGACTTCGAACACTCATCGATGATTTACTGTATGTACTTGCCGTCCAATCCAGCATTACCTGCATAAGCTCACTATTCCAACGAACCACTTGGCACTTCTCAAGTACGAAATGTAATTTCCCAGTCGGTGAGACAGTTCCACTCGCGGCAATCGATATTCGCCAATTCGCAATCGGGCAAGTTTTTTCCCTATCCGGTCGAACACGCGCACGTTACATCGGCCCAATTAAGCGTCCCCCGTCTTTTACTCTATTTTCCCTCTCGTTTCATGCAGCCAGGGGGAAGGGGAAGAAAAAACGCGGCCCTGGCTCCGGGGCGTGGGTGAATTAGCGTCGTACACGAACGGCGCTGTTACAAGTAATCAAAGATACGGCCTCGTCGTCGTCTATACATATACAGGGTGGACTACGAAACGTGATCAGCTTAGATTATTCTACTGCTAGCTGTTCGATCGAAAATTTTTTTGCATGCTTAACCATCGGCTCTGACGTCACGAATACAACTAAGCAGTCCTTTCTTAACCGTTTACGAGAGTGTATTGCATCTGATGGACGCCATTTTTAAAATTATTTTATCTCTTTGATTTAGAAGAAAGTAAAAATGATTTCGTGATGAGAATGAAAAGATGGGCATACAAAAATTATAGCTTTATCTACAAAAAACTGAAGGTGACTACCAAAAGTCTGGAGAAAAGGGTTGACAAAAAATTTGGTACCAAAATTATAGGTTTATCTAAAAAAAAAACTGAAGGTGACTACCAAAAGTCTGGAGAAAAGGATTGGCAAAAAATTTGGTACAGCTGTCTTAAATCTCTCCTTGAATCATGTTATACCAGCTAGAATCTAAGCTGATCACGTTTCGTAGTCCACCCTCTATAATACACGTCCGAAACGACCAACGGGGAATTTACGCGCGGGTCCCGGGCTCGTCGAGAGGAATTAGACGGAACGATTCACGCGGAAACTTTATCGGCGGAACCGATCACCGCAATTATCGGGAATCGATGGAAATCCCTCGTTCCGCCGCGCTCGGCCTTCGTCCCGATTAAGTCATCTCTCCGTCTTCTTCGTTAACGATGCTCAATCCCCCTCCCCCTCCGATCCGATGTTTGCGAAACGCGTGTACATAAAACGTCCCGCGAAACGAGCGGAAAAGAGGGCCGCGGCGCGGATCCGCGAAAAGAAAACACTCGACGGATCGTACAGCGCGCTTCGCTTATTTTAATCGTTACCGGTTACTCGGCTGAGGGCGGGGAACCCCTTTGAATTCACGTGGGTTGGTACTAATGAACCGAATGGTAATTAGAGCTGGCTGCTCTAACGAGAACCTCCGGGGAATGTTATAGTCTTAGGTCGTAGGAAATACATATTGTATCGGGTACAGAGAGCTTCTCGCTACACTTTGTCGTTACTAGTTTGTATGAATTTTCGTTTGATCAGCTCTAGTGTGCAATAAGATTCGTTAAGGGAGAGTGTACTATGCAGATCTACAGTGTCAACCAAAAGTATGAGACCAGGATTAATGATTAAAGGAAGAGAAAAATATTGTACAGATATTTCATAATAGTAATATGCTATAAACCTGATTGGAAATTATTTGTATATGTACCGATTTCCGTAACTTCTATTATATCGTAACAAAATAATGAGTTATTGTGCCATCGAACATTACCTCTGCTCCCATTCTTTTCTAGTCTATCTACACACGGTATCTATAAAATAAGGAACCACTGTTTCTAATTTTGAATATTTTCTGGATTGGTCGATGTCTCTCGAGGCTGCTCGAAGCTCACAAAGCGTGAAAATTAACGGAAAATCTGAAGTCAAGGACGACAGCGACTGGGACTAACACACCGACCGCTTGTTCAACGAGATTTGGTTTACGACACGTCAATTTCTATCGAGGACGAGGACCCTCGACAGAATTGCACGTGGTCAGCAGAGATGCTCGGAGTCTGTTGCCAATAAATCTCCCACATTCTTTCTCATTCCCATTTCTAAAAGGTTACTCCATGGTAGACTAAATTTTCCGTGACAATGTGCTCGACGTTTCAACGCGTGTCGCGCCGGAGAATCTGTGTGTACGCAGGGAACGAGACGGGCCGAGAGAAAAAATTGCGAATTCGCGAACGTTATGGCGTCATCGTCGGCGCAATCAACGATATGGCTCGCGGTGGTGAGTCCAAAGTGGCTAACGAGGATTTTCGTACGAACCGATTTGAACCACGAAAGGGAGGGAGGGGGGGTAGAACTAGCCGATTCCGCCGGACCTCTTCGGACAGCCGATCGAGACCCATTATCGGAAACCGATGAAAATTCTCTTTTAGTAGTGCCTCAATTCGCCGCGGGTACGTCACGCCGTCGAATTCGTTTTTTTTTTTTTAAACTTATTTTTACCCGGTTTTTTTCCCTCCCGGTTCCTGCGTTTTTTTTTCCACTCGGCCGCCGACGCTTCTCATTTGCCCGTTGCCCGATTCCTATCACACCGCGTAGGATATTGAAGGTATCTGGTCCGGCATCGGGTATAAATTCTGACATTTTTTCCGCGCGAGGGAAATTTTTCGTCGAACCCCTCCCCGCCTATCGTTGCCCTCTGTCACGCACCTGGACAGCGTGAAAAATAACGAGGTACGACAACGATAAAAACCAGCGACGCGTGGCTGTGACGTCTGTCGATCGCTCCGTTTGACGCCCATGAATCTTATCGGACCAGCTACGTGAATCTTCCTCGAAGGGGGTGCATTTTGCGGAATTGCAGGAATGGATCGGGATACATACGAAATATCGACACTTCGATCAAACAACGAACAGATACGTCGTGGTATTCTTTAATTCTCTGTCATATCGTTCTCTGAATCAGTGGTTCTTAACCGGTGTTCATCAGGACCGCGAAATTATGAAAGTGGTGTAACTAGCTAGGAAACTACCCTTAATTGAACTGTACCATAAACTTGCACGTTTCGAGTGTTTCAGTGGTTTGGTGTTCCACAGATCTATCTTACAATCAAGTCTTCCGTAACTTCGTGAAGGTTAAAAACTACTGTCTTAAATTTTCCTTACGTCACTCCTCGTGTTTAATCCCTTCGACTAATTCTCGACACATCGAAGACTTTCAAATTAAGGGTGAATACTTTCGAGACGAACTATAACATACACGTTCTTGCGCTCTGTGTTTTAATCCGTCGATCCCTACTTCTCCATGTTACCCACTAGCAAACTAATTCCTGAAACGTTCGTGATCCCTGTCGCGTGCTCGATTCACGGCGGAACGCGACCGACCGCGGTGCGATAGGCGCGACCAGCGTGCCCGCTCGACAAATATAGAGACTTTATTCGCGACACGTCACACTTGTTCGTTTCACCGGGTCTTTTTTTCATTTTTTTCTTTTTTTTTTCATATTTTTTTCCCCCGTTCGAACGTGGTGCGAGATGAAAACGATATAGAGGGGGGGGGGTGTGGGGGTGGCACACCGATTATCGCGATGAAAATTGTGGCCCCCGGCCAAATGTCGCACGGGGATAAAGGTCTAACCACTCGTTGGCGGGAAATGCGTCGGACTTGTGCACCGGTGCGCCCCGTAAATCCGAAAATTCATTACTGCAGGGTGCCGCCGCCACAGCGCGATTGTTCGTAGCCGGAACGCGGCGGAGTTTTGGGCTGCGAAACGCCCGGCATTAATGGTTCGCCGTCAGGATTTACAAGAGAGGAATAGGGGGCGAAACGAGGGGGCGCCACTGGTCATTGTTGACAAGCAAATATAGAATTTTCACGAGTCGCCACGGATGGTACGCCCCGCACGAATAACACGTAACTCCCGAGCCCGAATTAATAACTCGATCGTAAATTACGATTACGGGCTTGTATTTAGAATTCAAATGACTGACTGCCAAACACACACACACGGCCTCTCACTCTCTCTCGTAGACTCGCGTGATCGTGGCTGATTGCGCGACTCCCTCCTGCCGTGACGATGACGATAATCCAATTCCGCGAATTTATTGCGCGCCGATAATAAGCAACGGGCATTCGTTTCGGGTAATCACCCTCGGTTCTCGCAAACAGACTTCGGTCGTTATCGTCTCGGCGGCGTTTACGCTTCGAGACCATCCTAGTCACCTGGTCCCGAGACGTGTCCGTTCGAAGATATCGTTAAAACGAATTGGGACTCTAGTGGAACTCGATTTTATTGTTCCGTAGGTTTAGAGTTGACAAAATTTTCATGAAATTAGGTATCGAACGTTTGCATTGTGTGATCCAAGGTTGCTAAGAGTAGGGCCTTTGAGGTCCATATGATGTATTAGAAAGTACAGTGATTCCTCGATGAATGCGACACGAGCAACGGCGTTATTCCCACAATTGGGGGAGTCCCTCTGTGGGACCAATCAAAACAGAGTGAACAGAAGCTAAGCAGAGGTTCGATTTCGGGCAAAAAACAAATTTAGGAGGGGCTGAAAACCTTTCTGCCTTGACATGAATGCTCTGAAGTAGAGTACGTCGCACTCATCGAGACATTACTGTAGTGGAGGGAGAACGAACCATAGCAATCTCCGCATGGTGTGCATACCTACACAAGTCGTATTAATAAGTACAGCTTTATAAACGAATTGTGACATCACAGAGTCTTTATTTTGAAGCCTACGCCTGTTAACCTTATTGTCATTTGTCGAAAAACCCAGTACATCGACGCAAAAGAGTCCCAAGTCTAGCCCAGACTAGTCCTAATCAATGAGCCAGTTCACAGTAAAAAATCACGGAAGAAATGACTTGCATCTTCTCACAGCTGATGTACGACGATTGATCTTTGATTATCTGTGTTTGTAGAGGGTGAGGATGCCGCGGAGGACGAGGATTCCTACCTCCTGGAGGAGGACGACGTGCCATCGGCCACGATAGCCACGGACACCGAGCTGATCTCCGAGGCGGGCGGTCATCTGCCGGTGTTCCTCACCGAGCCCGTCGATTCGTTCGTGGTGAAAAACAAACCGGCCACGTTGCACTGTAAAGCGGCGCACGCGTTGCAAATCTATTTCCGTTGCAACGACGCGAGAGCGGAGGACTCGCAGCAGCAGGACTTCGTGGATCCCCATACCGGAACGAGGATCGTCGATTGCGAGCTGAACGTCACCAGGGATCACATCGAGGAGTATTTCGGGCGGGACAAGTTCAAGTGCGAGTGCGTCGCTTGGTCGGGATCCGGGCAGATCAAGAGTCAACCGGCCACTGTCGATGTTGCTTGTGAGTAGAATCGATTCATTAACTAATACACACACATTCTTTCTCTTAATTGACGTCAGTTTGTTATCACTGTTTTATTTAGCGAGCTATCGAATACAACGAGATAATTAAGCTTGTCTGTTTTCAATCAACCGATCCATGGATGAAATGAAAGCTTTCAATCTATAGATATCTCACTGAACGATAAAGTCATTTAGTCTTATGTATGTCTTAATTACTTCCACCATGTACAAATTACAGACCGCATCACAGAACTCTTCTAGGAAGTTCGTCTAATAAATATTTAGCCGACGGTTGTTTGCCCCCGCTGTCAAGACAGTTACGACGACTTTCGTCTTACTTTGGCTTCGACCCCCCTCTCCACCTAATTATCTTGATTCTCCCCCGGGCCGTAGGTCATTATTTAATTCCGACCCCTGATGCAAGGCAATACAATGGCCGTAGTTTCTAAGAGAATCAATTTAGGAAAGGACCATTTGTCCACCGTCCGTCGGGCTTACGTAACTCCCTTTGAAACGAACATCTCGTCCGCGAAAACAGCAACGATAAATCGCTGTCTTTCGGCTTCCTCCGCTCCCCCCCCCCCTTCTCCCGGCAACAAGTTTCCTCGCTACAACGATAAACAACGCTTATACAGAACGAAGAGAGAGAAAAAGAAACGAATATTGGCATCAATCCTTTCCATCCAAGTTTCCCAGCCGATTCTTCTTGGTCCGCCATTACCGTCTTTTCTAAGCCCTCGTAAATTCCATTTCCGCAGACTTGAAAAAGCAGTTCGATTCCCCGCCGTACTCCGTGTCGGTCGAGGCGGGCCAGAGCACCGAACTCAGGTGTCTGCCGCCGGCTGGAGTGCCGTCGCCGAGGGTCTACTGGCTGAGAAACAACGTCCCCGTCGACACCGAGTCGGATACGCTTTTAGTGTCAAGCGAGGGACACCTTCTCGTCGGCCAGGCGAAGCTCAGCCATCAGGCGAATTACACTTGCGTCGCGGAGAACATCGCCGCGAAGAGACTTAGCGATCCTGTCAGTCTCACGGTTTACGGTAAGTGTCCTATATTTTTTCTTCTATTTTTTTTTTTTTTTTGTCGACAACTAACATCGCTTGGGAACAAAGTGGATCCTTTTCTCGGTGCTTCTCATTCGAGTAATTTTAAGGAATATTCATCAGAAGATGTGATGGATACGCGGATAGTATTCTCCCGCTAATGCATCAATTACTGCCACGATCCACTTTGGCTCAAGCTCCAGACGCGAACCGTCCCGGCATTAGATTAGAGGAAAAGAATTCTCTCCAGGGTGAGATAGCTCAATTGATTACGCCTCCCAGCCGACGATCCCCACAGTCGCCAAGGAAACGGAAACCTTTCCCCCGATCCCAAGTGTCCACGAGTCCAATAAACCCTCGGACCCTCTTCGTCTCTCGCCCCCATACCCCTAAAAGGTAGCCGAGGTAAAATCAAACGGTCCTCGTACGATTCCGTTGCAGTGAACGGAGGATGGTCCTCCTGGTCGGCATGGTCCGAGTGTCACTCGAGGTGCGCGAAGGGGGGTCAGAAGAGGACGCGTACATGCACGAACCCATCGCCGATGAACGGCGGACAACCGTGTCTGGGCCCGTCGCAGCAGAAGATGGACTGCAACACCAACTGTCCCGGTAAGTCCCTTGTATTCATTACCTTGGCGAAATGAGATTTTCAAGGAAGCATCGGGAGTTCGTTAACGTCGATACCCGCCGTTCGGTTCCGCTGCAGAGATTTCTTGCTCGTTCCACCGTCATCGTCTAGCCTCGTCTATTCTCGCGGTGACGTTATACATACACTGTTCCACCGTGGGAGCGAAAGAGCGAGAGAGTAAGATGAATCGTGTGGTCTCCACGTTCGATCCGAGGGCCGTGTCGCGGGGTCGACGACAGTCAAGCAGGTTTTGCCACGACAAACCAATATTACCGATGCCGAGGAGAGAAGAGCCTCTCGTACGCCACTCTTAAATTGTATTCACCTTTCGAAAACGTTTGCGACATTCTGAAGACACCTGCGGCACATCCCCGTCGAGAGTCGTGCGGAGTGTATTGAAACGCTGCTCGTCGGGGGCAACGTCCACCGTAGAATCGAGGATCCGCGTCGGTGGCGACGGCGGCGACACTTGAAATATTAACCCCTCGTATTCGATTGGTGACCAGTCAGAACCGCGACGCGCAGAATTCTGATGTTGCATCGCGACTCGAATTGCTCGGGTATGGGAATAGCGAATAGAGGGTGTAATATCGCTGGACCAATTGGGGATTTTTGCTTGGGGATCGGTAGTCGCTTCAGTTCTGACTCTAAAGGGTGTTCACAGAGGAAGAGTTTGGTATTTATAGGGTAAATGATAGAATTAGAATATATCGCTGGTTTATCTTGATAGTGGCACAATTAAGAACAAGGACTTCTTGCTTTTGTTGCATAAATTAACTCCTCAGATCTAGTGCTTTTCTACCAAATCTAAATATTCGCCAAAGCAAAATGAATTGAAATAAATAATGAGAACAGTATTCAAATAATTGGTAGATTGTTAAAATTGTTTAAATACTTACCTGGTAGAATCTACATTTTTTAATGTTACGTCGCTATTAAAGTAAAATTTACAGTTTGCAGGATAATTTTGTAGTTTTCTTGAGATCCTGCATCGTGAACTCTTTCGAAAACTTTGATGTCTTCTTGCATCGACAATCAACGTTAATTAAACACTAGGCACAGTTCACTCCGACAGTAAATTTAACACTTCGAGCGCACACATCCTAAAAGTTCTTGGAAATACATATGGGGGTCGGGTAACCCCAAGTCATTTAAAACTCGAAATATCTCCCAAACTATGGACTTCTCAAAAAAAAATTGTAGAAGCATTTTTCGAAGTTATTAATGCCTGTACTTTCAGGCACAATTATTTAGACTAAGGAAAAAATAAATTAAAGTAATAAAAAAGAGGTTTGAAGTATGTTTTCAAAAATCAAGGTTCAGATCAAACATGAACATGGGGTCTTTTATCCCCTCGATGCATTCAAAGTGTTAACCTAACCCGCACAAATGATACGCCACGCTTTTGTGCACGCGCGTCTTACTCACCGACTAATTTGTCCGCTTTCAATAACGCACCTACGTGTATTCTGTCTCACGCTTACTTTGGAACAGTCGGCGCGCTGGAGGAGTTCACCAACACCTTAGGTAAGTCACCGCTTTTTGTCTCGATCTTGAACAAAAAAAAGTAATAAACGTCGATTAAAAACTACAAAAGAAAAAAAGGCGGGCAGAATAATTTGTAAGAGTATGTGACGGCAACGGTTACCAAACGAATCTCGTTAGTCGGGATTAAGGTATACGGGAGGGCCACGAGTTTTTTTCTCAACAACGGGAAAACGGGTCCGTACGAGTCAATTAAACCGAAAAGCAGAAGACCGTCGTTCCTCGACCAATGTCGGGCCCGCGTTCGTAGCCTAACCGAATTGACAAGTATGGCTTTTAAACAAGACTCGGAATAGGAGGAGGGATACCAGACGAGTTACGAGCCTCGGTGATGTCCGCTTTTGCCCGTAACTTTTTACTGTCGCTTTACGTCCGATCGAAGTCGCCTTAACGACTCCACGGGACCAGCGTTCGATCTTCTCATCGTTTTTTTTTTCTTTTTTCTTTTCTTGGTTTCCGTTTACCGACCCAGTGGTGGACGGAGGATGGTCCAGATGGTCGGCATGGTCGGTGTGCGGGATCGAGTGCACGCACACCAGAAGAAGATCGTGCGACGAGCCGCCACCCAGCCACGGTGGACGACCTTGCCCGGGCAGGGACATCAGCGTGGCGAATTGCACCGGCGGCATGTGCAACAGTAAGTCACGAACAGCGACTTCTATTCTCTACTTGTCACGACTTTCTCGGCTGGTTCGATGTGTCCCCTTTTGCTGTGTGTATTCGTGCGTTCCACGGGATCGCAGGAAATTTGTTGCTCCGTGGGGACTCGGGACATATTGTATAGCTGCTGTATAGCATCACTAGTTGTTACTTTAACATTACTAGCTGGTACTTTAACATCACTAGTTGTTACTTTCGTATCACTAGTTCTTACCTTAGTATCACCAGTTCTTACTATGGTATCACTAGTTGATAATGAAGTAAAAAGTAGTGAAAACGATGAAAAACTAGTGATAACGAAGGAAAAACTAACGATAAGTAACTAAAACTAGTGATACTGAAGTAAGAACTAGTGATACCAAAGGAACAACTAGTGATACTAAAGTAATACCAGCATTATTAGATGTATTACGTTACAAAATCGTACTGTTCATTTTCATAGAAGATTCCAGACGACTGTATCCGAATGACAATATTGAACCTATTACATTGAAATTATTCTACTAGCTATGAAACACAACAGATCGATGTCACTACTCGCGAATATGATAACATAAGTAATTATTCGCAATATGCTTGAAGAACTGTCTCATTTTCTACATGTACTCCGTCAATTGAACGTAACTATAACGTGCTATCTCGCGAAGAGTAATTGTCACTCCGTTTACACCCGGAAGCGCTCGAAGAACCACCAACAGGACAAGAACCAGAGCCATGAAAGCCTCAATAATCTTATTTCCTGTCGCGCCCAAAGAAATACGATTACATCTTAACACGTTCGCTGTCAGGAATATTTCATTTGATCGTCTTAACTCTATTGTGAATCAATCTCGCTGCTCCCCCGCCTGAGAAGAAATAAATTGCACACCGTGATATTCAATTTAACGTATCGTAAATATATCCACGTCATACACCGTCATCCCGTTCCTCTCGCGAAACCATCGAACGAGCCACACTAGTCTTACAACCGTACGAAATTGATATAATATACTTCTAAGAACATCCCCCAGTATTCTCAGGTATATTCTTCACAGGCCTTTTCCCGCCCGAGGAATCCAAGAATCGCGCTCCGCTTTTATCCACCCCGTCGTGTCAATTACCGTGGTTCACCCACTTAGCCCTCAATTACATCCACAATTTCTATCGTCCGGTCTATCTCTCTTTTCCAGACGCTGGCACGAAAATGGGTGGCGCTCACTTGACCGAGGAAGGTAAGTCCGTACCGCCGAACAAAGGCGCCTTTTCCCAGGAGTTTAATCTCCTTCCGTCTCCATTAAAAGACACAGAGTGTGAGTGAAAGAGAGGGAGAAAAATTCCATTTACGAGTCAACGGATAAAGGAGGGGCTCCAGCGATTAGATAAGCCGCGATCTCGCGAATATATCGGGAACCACCCCCCGATTAGTTACGGGTTCGTGTGGCACAACGTCGAGCATAATCGAAACGTAAAATTGCGCTCGAGTGGGAGGTGCGACCAACCGCGAGGAAGAAAATGTATTCCTTGTATACTGGTCGTGCGACATTCTCCTCCCTCGATGGATTCTTCACGGTGCTCGGCCGTTTATATTCCGCCGCTCTACAACTCGCGATCTGATACCATTCAAATCGGACGTCTCGGATCGGGTAAATAGAAGACCACAGGTCCAGCACGGACTTATTCCAAGTCGCGGCTTGGCGATACACATCGACTCCCGATGTATTTAATGCGAAGTTCGAAGGCGTTACGTGCTCGTTCTCGAACCGTGACCGTTGCGGAACGAGGCGAAATAGGAGAAAATAGTCCCTTAATGGGGTATACGGGAACGCCTATGGCGCTCGGATGAATTCGATCATTCATCATCGATTATTCTCGTGCTCATTTTTACGAGAGTAATGACTACGGGGGGAATTCGAGGGGGTTGGAAGTTTATGTGGATAATGGGGATCGAGTGATAGAGGGATATAGCATATATTTATTCTTAAGAAAATTCGTGAAGTCTCCATTAGACAGTAACCCTTCAGTCCATTTCTTCTATTACGTTGTTGGAAACCAACAAGTGTAAGAGAAATACACTATTGAAGTTTTAGTAACAAATTGTATTTCCAAACGGGTACAACAGGTAGGATAAAGATCCGTCTACACTATGTATATAGCATAACTCGTTATATATCAATGTTATAACTTGTTAAAAAACAGAAAGAAAAATGTTATGTAACATTTTTCATGTTGTGTAGCAAGTTACATGATATCCATCAAGTGTGACGTTATTATTAATAACTAGAAATGTTATACAAACTTGTTACAGGCTTGTCCAGAATGTATAATCTTGTAACAAATTATATAAACATGTTGTATAGCAAAGTCATAAAACAAGTTGTTGTATAATATTGTTTTGCTATACGGTGTAGATATAGTTGAAGACTATTTTGCCAAATGACGTGACCGTGATAACTAGACTGAGGATGTATATGCAAATATAGACTTTTGGGGATTAATTTACCAGAACTAGAGTCAAAGCATGATCTGTTTGCTTTATTTACTATTCTACCAGGTTCCATAGGAAATAAAAATTTCCAAATTTATCAAATTCTTAAGTACAGTGAGTTCTAGAGAATCCTGTGTGCTATAAATGCATAAAATCCGCAGTCTAGTGATAACTGACGACCGACTCGGAGTACTATTGCTGAGATAGTAAATTTGTCAGTATCAAGATACATACTAGGCAAATCGTATTTGGTGGGAAGGTGTTAACATTAACCCTTCATTCTTAGTCATTGCATGAGTAAGTCGTCCTTACCGATTCATTTGTTTCTGAACACAGTCGTTTGATCGCGTTTACCAGTAAGGACCTCTAGTGACCCACGAGGTTGGTCATCCAACACGATATAGCTCCGCTAGAATTATCTAATAACCACCCTCTGAATCTTCATCGTACACGCAACACTCTTCTAAATCACGTTGTCCAAGCAAACGTGTCGAATATTCGATCTCCACAGGAATCTCATCGAAATCGACGGATAACGGCCAGGCCCGAACAACCCTATTTCGCGCACGAGAAGGAAAAAGGTTCGTTTTTTTTCCCCGAGAACGCAATCGCGCTCAAGTGTGTTTGCCGATGAAGTTTTCCGCGTCAACGACGAGCAACGCGTGGTAAAGTCCCCTTCCGACTATTTACATTTAATTACGCGACTGGTTAATTATTGACGCTTCGCGATAGAGGGGAGTTACGCGATTCGTCGTCGGCCCCCAGACCGGGTCCAAACAATCGTAACAATGAGACGGCCTGGGCTGGTAGTCAAGGGTGGCCCACTAGTCTGTATAGATCCAGACACCCCTTACCCCTATGCTAGGTGGACGATTCTATCGATCCAGCCACATCAAAGTTGCACGCGATACGGTACGAGCCGCGGCTCGCCCCTCGTAGGGGGCAGGGGGATAGAAGGGTGGAGGTGGAGGCCGCTTTAATATCGAAGAAAATTATGTAATCGGTAGCCGTTACGCCCCTCGGCGGCCAGCAACAGGGGGAAATTGATCGTGCATGCAAATAAAGTGCCATTATACCCGGTGGCGAAGCCCCGGAACATAGTACGTGGTCGCTCGTTCGTTGGGACCAGCCCGCCCAGAAACTAACCCGCCCAAATCCCGGAACAGGGTTCGATTTTCGCCAAGTCACGATAAGACGCCGGAATAGTCGGGCAAACTATACATCCAGTGCCGTTGGAGAAACTTTCCACCGTCGAGGTCGAATTTGAATTCGAGCTTCGTGACTATCCAACGGGACTTCAAGCGGAACTGAACTCGATGTTTCTTCGCGTTTCCACGGAATTTATTTAGGAGCTTATTATTCCTTCGAGTTTCCAGCGATCTCGGAGGACGAAAGTTACCGTCCACTCGCTAATTTCGTTCCTCCTCGACGACGTTACGAAACTTCGATAATAGAGTTTTAAGAACAACAGAGTTTATCCTCTGGTCGCGGTTTTCGTTACGCGTAAAAAGGATATCGGGGATCACCGTGGTGTTCCTCGGGGACATTCTTCTAGGCGACCTGTGGATGCACGATAAAGAAAAAGGAAAACTACTGATCGCCGTAGAGTTTCCCCGGGGTATATCGCGATGAATTATAGTCTTCGGATACATTAGGTCGGGGCTATGAGGCGTTATCAATTGCCGCTAAGAAAATAAATCTCGGCACCCCTTGCGCCCACTTTTCAAGCCCAGCCTAGCCTCGCTGGGGCGAAAGTCGCGAACACAGTTTCTCCCCCGACCGCGTGGGTAACGACGCGGAACTATTGCGTTTTTCGGGGGGAATCTCTCTCACCCCCTCGCAGGATTCGTATGCGTTTTCGTCGGCCGCTTATATTGATGTTCGAGGCACGTGTCTCTGGGACAAGCCGAGCGTGTGCGACCAGGCAGACGCGCGCACATGATCCTCGCGGAGGCGAAGCGGCCGTCGAGAGTCACGTACCGGGGTTACAACCGGGTATGGCTTTGACATTCTAAAATTGGAAGAAGCTTAGAGGAACGTCAGCCGCCGGTTTCCCGTGGTATTTTCTTCAAAATCATCCCCCCCCCCCCCTGGTGTGCCGGCACGCGCATTTTAAGCGCGCCAATGAACCACGAAGAATTATGACGAGAAGTTCTTTCTTTTCCTGGTGTCGCTTTTCGACAGGGGCCAATTAAGGGACAACGGTGCGACTGATTTAGATGAATCATGGGAACTCTGATAAATCAGGCTTTTACCCTTTCAATGTGAAATTAGAGTTCTTGTGTAATTCTCGGTTACTGAAAGCTGAGGGAATGTTTTACAGGATTTTCTGTTTATGGACTTTCGTGTCTGGTGTTAGAATCTTTTCAGGACCGTGAATTGGGGTACCTTCGACTCTGTCAGGGGTAACTTTCTCCCAACGTCAGGAAAAGACCATTTTCGATTTTGCGGCTCTTTTGTAGGGATTTTTTACTGGACTTTATCTTGGGATAAAGTTAGCCTAACTGAGTCGAAGTTACCCCCGCCTTACGGTACCGTTTGTATTCGAGTATGAAGGGGTTAAGATGATGGTAACCGGCCATTTTGAATATAAAGATTCATGGAAGATTTTACGAGTATACCGCGAAAACTTAAAACTTGTATGGTAATTCCTCGATCTAGACAGTACGTAACTGTACTTTTGCAGATCTTCGTATCCACTGTATAAAATACGAGGCAAATTCGTTAAAAATTTGACAACGCGTAGTTGGTTCGCATTTCGATCAATCAATCCCATCACTCGCAAACAAAGCACGGAAACCAAGTTTTCACAATACGGGATTTCCGACACTTCCCTGGATACAGCAACGAACAGTTAGACGGCGCATCGCGGATGGGAAAACTTTCAAGAATAATTCCGTAAATTGATATCCACGAACTTTCTCGATTTATGACGCGCCGTATATCGTTCTGTATTTACGGGAACCACGGGTTCCCCTTAATCCCGCGAAGACTCCGGTCGCGAGTTCGCTGTTACATAATTCATAAAACGCGTTCGAATCTCGGTGAAACTTTGCATACGGGGTAATTCAATCCCGATTTCATACCGGACGGCGAAAGAGTAGAAAGAGGCGAAGAGGAGAGAGAGAGGCTATCGCAGCGTGACGCAATCCTCCTGTCTCTCTCTACGTCCCTCTCTACCGTACCTTTTAATCGCTTCCCACGTAGTCTTTGTTGCCATCGTGTTCACTGTCCGTCTCTCGCGACCGCCTCGAAATTATTAGGTTGTCGCACACGAAGCCGTAAGCCTTTTTAATGACACTATATATTATCTCCTGCCTCGAATGGATTTTATTGCTCGGAATAACTCTCAACCGATTTCTGTGTATACGACTCGTGGCCAATCGATCGTGAGCGTAATCATTGCGAAATTATTTCCGAGACATCTCTGAATCCTGTATCATAGCTAAACGATTGTCTTTCGCGGAGCAATGATTCTTGCCTGAAATTTAACCGAAACTTGTCACCGAGTGTACACTATCGCCCGCACGTACCTGTTAAGACACCTGGTCTGTACGAAGAAAATGCGATGTTTCGTTAAGTTTTCCGGGTACCGTCCAAAAATACCTTGAAAAATATGTGATTTTTGAGGTACCATTTAAATTAACATATTTCTCTTAAAAATAAAGACATTTTCACGTTTTGTTTTATTATTCCTATCTAGTAAAGGTATGTTTCATTATATAAACTACCTTAATAAAAATAAAGTGATATATCGGCTCCAGGTATTTTTCGGAAAACCCACAAAGTCGATATATCGGCTCTAAGGTACTAAAAGGGTTAAATTCCCCAATTTACACGGATGATTTACGTTTCTGACCAACACTTCGGTACTGATTCGTATAAATCTGGTCGCACAGTTCCGACCAGAGAAATCGCTCGATTCTTATGCAGAACGGGTTAACCATTACTCGCCTTCGAGCCGGTGTTTTACCAGTTTTTTGACCTCAACGCGTTAATGGCCGCGATAATAACGATCCGAGTCTTTATCGCCCGCGCGGAATATCGCGAAGCTGTAAAACGATAAACCGGCCCCAAGGAACGAGCGTGTCCTCATCCCCTTCCCCGTCGCCTGGCGTAAATGGAGAGGAACCTTAAAACTTTTCTACGACGCTCGTAATATTTAGCGACACGGGTAACCGTTTAAAAACGCCGTCCACCTTCCCAAACCCTCTCCACCGTCGAGGGAAATGGGACACCTCGTGTCCCCCCACCCCCTCCTATGGGAGCACGTTTGAAACCCGTAAAAAGTAAATAAAAGTTGCCGCGTAAATTATTCATGAGCAATGGTTGTTCGTCGTCCACAGCGGAGAGCACGCTTCGCGGACACGCGAAAATTACCGGGTGCCATTTGCACACGGGTATCATACGTCTTAAAACGGGGGGGGGGGCCTCCGAAGGACAGTGTCGCGCACGGCAGTGCTCCTTAAAACGAGGAATTAACGCCTGCCCGGTTACTCCTAATCCTGCGCGAGGCGATAATCTTTCGGAGACACGGGTGACAAAGTCTCGAATTAGCGCCCTGACGATTTCTCTGTACCTCTGTCTCGCTCACTCTCTATGTCTTTGCTTCTACGCGACTCGTTTTCACCCTCGTCAATGCGGTGCGCCTCGGGACCCTGGGTTAAGATGGAAAACGTTTGATGTTCACAGCGAACCGCCAGATGGACGTGGCACTCTACGTCGGGCTGACTGTCGCCTGTGTGGTAATCGGCTGCCTGGTATTATTTTTCTTGGCGAAGATTCTCAGGCGCAAAGGTCGGGACCATTCCCTTTACTCCATGGCCCGTAACGGTAAGCATCTCAAAGATGGTGAAAAAAAGGGACCCCCCTTCCCATCTCCCTGTCATACCTTCCACTTTTGCGAACGAAGGAGCGAAAGGTGATCGCGCAGGATATAATCACGGATACTCGTTTTTTTTTTTCCTTTTTACGAACGAGATTCGAATTTATGTTCACCTGCTGTCCCCTCGGTCCTCCGATCGCAGTTGCACGAGATAAGAGTGATACTATTTCGAAGTTTGATCGATAATTTCGTGCTCGCTGCTTTCATCCGCGGAGTTGGGTCACGGAAACACAAACACACACAGCGTAATTATTGAAAGGTATACACGTCGTGGTTAATAAACGCTTAACTGTGACGTATTTAGAACGCAGCTCTCGACTCGATTGGTCGGCGAGAGCACTCCTCTTGCCTCTGTGCCGTTGAGTTTTTAGGTGCCTAGCCAACAAGTAATTTCTGGACTGTACTCTGATGAGCAAACTCGGCTTCCTCTAGGGGAAAAAGCAGCATAGGACCACCAGTTGGTAAATTTATTTCAAGTACAGAAATCAATGTTAAACCAAATGTAAATTTGATATAAACTTAGTCCCGGAACCAAACGGTACGGGGCCCTTGTCCTACGCCACATTTTCACCTAAAAAGGAAGCTGAGTTTCCTCGTCAGAGGTCTATTGAGCTCTATACCAACGCCAGATTCATACTAGTGGTCAAAGGCACAGTCAGATCACGATCAGTCTGAATTAAGACCATATTTTCCTAATTAGATTACATATGAAGGATAAAGACCACTGCCTCATTTGACGTGCTGACCGTAACGTAATTGCGAGTGTGAATCTGGATTAACTGGAGTGTGAACTGTGGTTATGGGGGTCGTTCTGAGAGAGAGGAGATATAAGGTGAACCTATCTGAACCTTACACACATACGCAGATATAAAATGTACTAGATAGAGATGATAATAGGAAGAAGAAGGATAGGTTCACCGTATATCTTCCTTTTCCCTTGGACCTCTGTCGCCTCTACTTCTTCGCACAGGTGTTCTCCAGTTAAGGTATGTTTTCACGTGACAGTAAATCGTGGCTTTTACAGTCATGACACTAAATATCTTTGTCGTTGTGAACACTACATCGTTATACAGTGTCATGAAATTTACTGTTACGTGACAACGTACCTTCAGTACAGAGCTCAATGATACATACATACACGATGAAAGCGGCGAACAGAGTTTCCCCGACTAAAGATCGGAATAGTATCACAGCGGCGTCTGTCCGCAGCGCGCAGAGATACCCACGGGCCGTGGCTCGGCGGTGTGCGTTTCAGAATTCCAGCCGGAGTTCTTCCCGGACCAGGACAAGAAGCTGAGCTTGCAGCCGGACGTAACGGCGACGAGCGTGCCGGCCTGCTACGAGTATCCTTTCGACCCGAAGCTGTCGATGTCGAGATCCCTCTCCGAGCACCATTACGACGTCCCTCACCTCTCGATCGCGCCCCAACCATCGCCAATGTCACCAACACCGAGCACATCGACGCAGGAGTCAATCAGCGACAAGCAGATCCATTCCGACTGCGAGAACAGCATCACTAGCTCGTATCCTTCCTCGGACTCGACGTACAACGTCGCCTCGGAGAGCGTCAGGCTACCGAAGCTCGTGACCGGAAACGTGGCCGGTGCCGCGGTGAACACACGTGGCGCCCTATTGGTGCTACCGGACGCTGGTATATCGATGTCGGTGCCCGAGGGAGCGGTGCCCAAGCCACTCAGGGAGGAACTCTACCTGGCGGTGCTCAACGAGGATCGCTTTAGGCCTCGATTACCCGGTAAGTGATGCGTGCATTATTAATTGCGGCCTGGTGTGCGTATGACGTGTTCGTCCCTCTCTCTCTCTCTCTCTCTCTCTCTCACCGATCACGCTGGAATGCTGCTCCCGGTGTTATCGATCCGAAATTCAATTGGCAGCATTTCTGCTTCGACGTCTACGGGGATAGGTAATGAATATCGACGTTGGCTGATACCGACGTCGTTTTTAATTACACCCTGGACAACGTGACTCGGTTCAACGATCTCCTCTATTATCGGATGATTCTATAAGTAATCGGGGCTTTCGCGAATATTCGATCGGTGGATCTTTCGGTAACAAAACGCGGGGGATGAACGGGGATAATCGCGCGTCAGGTATTCATGGTAAGTATACCAAGCCGTTAAAGAGATCCCCGAACCCGAAAGTGATTAAGCTCGTCAACCGCGTAAACCTCATCGCGATCCCCGCGCGGTTTCCGGAATAGAGCTCATCCCTGTTTTGCGATCCACCATCGATCCACCAGACCGACCCGTGTAGAGAATTCGAAACCAGGATCTGGTTTGTTTCATCCGCAGATGGTATCACGCAATTATCCGCGGTGGTGACGTGCGGCCCGTCCTCGGCGACGTTCAACAAGCCTGTGATCCTGCAATTCGAGCATTGCGCGATGCTGCACCCGGCGACATGGGAGCTCAGCGTATGGGCGTGCGACGGTTTGAGCGTGGAGGACGGTGTCGCTGTAGCGTCCTCGAAGGATCATCAGTCGATCACGTGGACCAGGGTGTTGACGTTGGGCAACGAGACGATCAACACGCCGCTGTTCACGCAACTCGATCACGCGGAAGCGTTCATCGTCACCGAACAGCTGCGCGGCTACGTTCTTGCTGGGCAAAGCTGCGAGAACACGATCGCGACGAAGAGGCTACGGGTGGCGTTGTTCGCCAGTCAGACGGACCAATGTTCCGTGAGGGTGTACGCGGTGGAGGACACGAAAGCTGCGATGAAAGCGATCGTCGACAGGGAATCGCTGATCCGCGGGTACTTGCTCGATAAACCGAGAACTCTGTTGTTCCAAGACAACGGAGAGTCGTTGTGCGTCAGTCTGGAGGAGGTCGGGAACGAGTGGCAGCAGTGCAAATCGTCCACGGAACGTCAAGAGATCACGTTCAGGGACGCGTGGAACTGTCAGGAGACCACCAAGCACGTGACCTTCGGTCTGGACACGAAATTCGGACCTAGCACCACGAGAAGCTACAAGCTTCAGGTCTCGCAGGGTAGCTCGGACACCAGGCAGGTGTTCAGGATCGTCTACGATGGCGTGAAGCAATTGATTTCATCCGGAAGCGTGACCAGACCGCTCAGGGAGGTGACCGTGGTCAGCAGCGGGCATGCTAATAACGCTACCACCGACTCCACTACCCTGAGACCGTTTCGGTTTACCAGATCCCTGAGGAAACAGCTATGCCAGTGCCTGGACCCGCCGAACGCCCTGGGCAACGACTGGAGAATGCTGGCGCAGAGGCTCCAGGTTGACAGGTTAGCAATCTTGTATATATACGAGGCAGCCTGGGTCGTCGTGTTTGCTCGGCTACCGGTGACTGACGGTACGTCCTCGGGGGACACTTGTGGTATATCTTTAAATGTCGGTTCGCCGGAGGCCTGTCTTTCAACGGATTTCCCGCGATCGCCATCGGGGGGACGGTCAGCTTGATCTTTTCACCGAAGCTGGGTGTTCTTGCGATATAGTAGCTTCTGACAGGCATCGAGCTTTTTTCTGTACTATCGAGTCCTTCGAGGTAGTCATTTATTCTACCTGCACGCGATACGTATGGAAGGTAGTTGCTTAAAGGCCCAATTTGTTGCCGGTTATTCTGGACATTAACTTTGTGCCGATGTCAGAAAATGATCGTTTTCGATTTTGTAGTTCCCCTGAAATACCTTTTCACGTAAAAATCAACTTAATTTTACAATTTGTAGCATAGAAAATTATCATTTTCCGACTTGATACAACGTTATCCCAATTTAAGGTACACGAATAATTTTTATTATAATTCTGAATCTGTCAAGGTGATATTGCTATTTGGTCAAGCATTGTAGATCCACATAACCATTTCGCTGCTTCGATCATATCCTGTTTCCATGACACACAGTAGAATCGTGTTTCAAGTGATGAAAGAAAACACGCGTTTCTCCGATTCCCGTTACAGGTACATCAACTACTTCGCGACGAAGTCCAGTCCGACTGAACACATCCTGGACCTCTGGGAGGCGAAGCACCACGAGCCTACGGCTGTGACCGACCTGCTG